TGTCCACAGTCTGACTGTCAATTCGGCTTCAGTTTAATCCATAAATATAAAGTGTATTCTGTACAAACTTTACATTTTGGCTATTTCAGTGGGAACAGAGAGGCAGACTGTTTTAAAAACGATGATTTCTGAGTAAAATAAGTGCTGGTTGGTGGATCAGATAGTATTATAAGTGAGAAAAGATTAAATGATGTTAAATATTAGATTATCATTCAGTGAAAGTCCTGAGGATTAGCTTTCTTCTTCTAAATTTGAACAAGTGAGCAGTGGATTGATGAGATTATGTTGTTCTGGGTGTGTCCCGTCGTTCCCTCCTCACTATCACATTGATTGCTGTCCACTCCCGCCCCACCTCCTTTCTGTACTTCATTTAAATAATTAATAAATAACTTTACAATTCAGATTCCTCCTCCTATTCTGACTGTTTATGGCTGAAATGATTTATTAATTGCTACCCACCAGTTCTGTGGATTTCCCCCTCTCTTCAGTGTTTCTGTTCTCTTTCCCTCAGTTCTGCCGAGCCTTATCGATCGATTGGGAGACTCGAAAGACCAAGTGCGAGACCAAGACCAAACAGTGCTGCTAAAGATCATGGAACAAGCCGCCACCCCGCAGGTACAGACACACAGGCAGCCTGATTCAACTCTAGTGGTGATTAATGTCCTATATTCTCTGTTTCTGCCTGAAATTAGAGCTCGTTCAGGGTGATAAAAACTCTCTGCTGAGCTGCTGCACTTCATCTGATTCACTGCTGTTGGCCGGCGGCTCACTTTCATTGTATCCAGTTGTGTTTAACTATAGCCACATTAATGATCTCAGCAGATATATCGAATTACTCATTGGTAATTCGATATATCACGTTTTCTGTTTATATAAAATGACCACTTATAAATTCACACACGTCCTGGAAAACATGGAAAACCTGCAAATTTAGAGTCATGGAAACACCTGGAAATGGAATAAAATGACCAAATATCCTGGAAATAATCGATGTGGTCCTGGAAAATATTAATAGTATTTACACTCATCACATCTACGCCATTGGATCACCTTTTTTGAATTATTCACCTGACAAATTAAAGCTACGTTCTTATATTTGTTGATGTTTCTCCTTTTATTCAGAACTTTTGTGCAAATCTTTAATAAATGTTAAACAAAATATAAAATAATAATGGATAAAATATAAAAAGGGGGTAAAAAAACCCACTTTTAATCTATTTTGAACCACATCCATGCCACAGAAGTAGCCCTCCATCATCCCCCGTTCAATCTCCTCCATGTTTGTTTGTGTTGCCTTCAGGCACATTTCCCAGCAGCATTATATAAAACAATATCACACGATATATAAATATAACATCATATCTCACAGCCCCTACTGCTGTTGTCCTATAATGTCCATTAGAAGAAGGATGAAACGTACTAATACTCTGTGTGTTGTTGCAGTATGTGTGGGACCGAATGCTGGGTGGATTTAAGCATAAGAACAACAGGACCAGAGAAGGA